CGCAGACTCTCCTGAGGACAGCAGGCTGGGAGCATGTGAAGGGCAACCGACGAGGCGAGCTTGCCTACACAGGCCGAGCGCTGGTCAACGTGCAACGTGCGGTTCAAGAGACTTGCAACATGCTCGACGACTGTCCTGGCAAGCATGGAAACTGGGACATCTGGAACAGCGATTGGACCCTTTTCCGAATTCGAGCACGTGGCCAGCTGGATCAGCTGAGACGCTTTGCTGAGGGGAAGGAGACAACTGCAGATGATCTGGATGGCTCAATACGTGGTCGCCACTCTGTCGCCGCAACGGCGAGGAAAGCTGAGAGTCAAGTTCCTTGGGAAATATATGAACAACTTAGATTGATCTTCGACATCGCCCTAGGCTCAGAAGAGGCCGTTCTTGCTACCGCCCAAGATTGGTGCGAAGCGACGATCGGGCTTTTTGGTTGGTGGGATGAAGGGAAGAATGACAAGACCATGCATATATCGAAATCGCAAAGCCTTGTGCTGGCAGCGCAGATACAGGACAGCAGCTCCGAGGGTTATCTCGAGCGACTTGCACGGTCCTTCCAGATGGCAGTCGACGCCGAGTTTCATTTCAATTCTCTAAATCCTGTCGAGATTGGCATGGCGTGTGTTTTTGAAGATAACGTCAAGGCTGTGATTGCTATTCTACGAACCTTTTCTCTCCCTGTAGCTTCTTCCGTGGCCGAGATAGCATCTTTAGGCCACTGGCTACCACCACACCAGCCGTCAGCCCTTTACGGATTTGAGGATCTCGACATGGATGATCTCGAAGTCCTTGGGGTTGATCCTGGCAATCCAGATGAAGTGGATGGAGTGAAGGACAACACCCTCATCCAGTATGCCCAAGAGTTGGCAAACTACAAGGAGTTGTCTCTGGTGAAAGACAACGTTGGCATTGCCATGGACGGATGGGAGGTGGCAATTCATGTCCTAGGGCGAATGGACTCTGCACAACGATCAGAAGAAACCGTAGGAGAACTGGTGGAAAGACTTCTAGAAGAAATCGACGTTGATTCCAGCGACATGGTGGAGAAGATATGGCGGCTCCTTAATGATCTCGGCATGATAGTATTCGCTGAGCATACCGCCGAGGTATGTAACCCTTTCCTACGAAGAATCACAAGGCTATCAGGAACTAACTTGAGTTAGCATTACGGAGAGATCCTTAAGAATGAATCTCACAAATATGGCGAGGCTATGTGGTATTTTGCGCTAGCCCATCGACCCGGAAAGGTCCGAGAAGTTATGAATCTCCTCATCTCATACTCCTTGATCCAGTCGGTCGCTCATCCCCCCACCGCCGAGCTTGACAGCCACCTGAGAAGGTTGCTCAAAGAGCGGAACGCTACACTGGAGCATTTCGCCAAACAGGACCTCGAAGCAGCTGAGCTGCTTGGCAAAATGCTCGCCGGCTATGCCACCCTTCGCAAGTACTATGAGATTCGGGACGACGACTCAATTCCCCTTGCACGACGTCACCAGGCTGCTGCCGCCGCGTTGGTGCTCGTCATTGCATCTTCAGACGACAACATCCGCGGAGGGTTATACGACGCCAGCCGCGATGCAATCGTCAGTGAGGACTTCCTCCTTGCCCTCCTAGGAGAGGCCCTTGTCTTTGTCAATCAAAGCCCTTCGGCTATCACACTCGACCAACTGGATGTACTCTTGAAAGCCGTCGAGGATATCCAAGCAGTGGGAAGCAGAGTCTACAATACGTGTGATGACTTCTTCCAACTTGTGCTTGCATCTGCACCGGGACTGAAAGGCTCCAGCCCTGCCGACCTATTGAAGAAATCTACCTCGAATCTCAGTAGCGGCGCGGCATCTTACATCATGGACGGTAGTTCCATGCTTGCAAGCCAGCTGCATCGCTCCATTAGCGGCAGTGGCACTCTTGCAAAGGCAAATGTGAAGAGAGGATGGGATTGGCGAGCTGGCCTGACTGCCTCGACAGGTGCAGAAGACATCTTGAGAATACTACGTTTGGGATTGACAAAGGATATGGCAAGACTATGGCTGGAAGCCACGGATAACGGATTCGCATAAAGCAGAAGTCGCATCAAAAGCTGGCTTATGAAGTGTAAATGTAGGCGTTGTAGATGTCTGGACCTCAAAATAATGTGATACCTCATACATAATGCACCCAGGCAGGATGTGATTTTTCTCTCGTGCACCATTAGAAGTCACTTGTCATTACAGCAACTTTCGTGTCGACTGCTTATCCCACTGCCGTAATATAATCATTACACCGTGGTAAGGTCTGTTGTCGTGGCTTGCACGTAACGATTTCTCACCTAATACTGAAATTCCGCAATCGTGCTCCACTCAACTTTCTCCCCTCACAATCACGTCTTGCAGCGCCTCAAATCCAACCAAAAATGTCTCGGCCAGAGAAGCTGCCGCAGTACGTCTACAAAATTGTCGACGAGGCTCCGCCCGAGCCTTTTCCGGCAACATTCCCGCTGTCGGAGCTCGACAAGACGGACGGCTTTGTTCATCTTAGCACGTCGTGGCAGGTACAGCGACACCTTAGACTCAGAACATACGTCTTTTACCAAACGTCAAGATGCTGACCCCGGATCGACAGATTCCTATCACTTCCGGACTTTTCTTCAACGACAAGTCCCAGATATGGGTAATCAAAATCCATTTCAAAAAGTTTGAGGCGGACACCAAGTGGGAGGTCCCAGGAACGGATGGGTGTCCGCATCTGTACGGCAACTTTGGCGCAGATGATGTAGAGTCGGTGGCAAAGTTCGAAAGGAAGGAGAACCAGACATGGGAAGAGGCGTTCAAGGGATCAACGTGGTTGGAATGAAGTGCCCAAACAACGATAGCTATTACAATCGATCTATAGCAGAAGTCTATCTAGATACTTTAATTACACATCCAACAACATTGGACCCTAGGCAAACGACGTGGGGCTTATTCCTCTGTCTGTCTGTGTTTTGATGCAATCTTTCGGTTTCCTACCTGGTTTCTTCTTGTGTCGCCATCCCTCGGACTGGAGATAGTCCTCCATACATCTCCGGCATCGCCCTCGGTGGCGACGGATGTTATCCTGTCTGTTTTTGCGGACTGCACCGCATGCTAATATCACTGGTGGCTGGTGCACTGATATATCATGGCGGTCTAGGTCCTTCTTGGTTGAGAAGGTAGTGCTCTGGCAGTCTGCAAATCTGCAGCGGTAGATTTTAGGTTCAGCGCGACCTCTTCTCTTTTGTTAGTGACCTTTGATTCATGCGTAAGCCTTGGAAGTCATACATACCGTCCTTTCGCCTGCTTGTGGTTTTCTGGATCAATGGTCAAATGAGCTTCTTCGGGTGAGTTGCAGCTCGAAAGCGCGAGATCCATCTCGCAATCAGTGTGATCTATCCCCCTTGACAGAGAATGGCTCGGTCGAATTGTTATGTTGTCTATGGCGTCAGAAAATTTTGATGGAGGAATGTCAACAGAACTACTATAATCTGACTCTCCAACTGAGCTCTCTTCAGATAAGAAATCTGTGAATATGGTATTGAGTTGTGTCTGACTTGCTGATGAAGTGTCATCCGTGCAGCAAGATGCAATATCAAAGGAGACAGTGGGTATCATGTTCCAGCAGTTCATACAGAGGCCTTGAAATGGCATTATAGGCTGTTGCCCGAGCCGAGAAAGAAATGTCGCTCCAGTTCCGCTCAGCAATGGTGGATCTCCATGAGCAAAGACAGAAGTTGTATGGAGGTCACGGCTCTGAAGAGACCAGAATGATTGAGTACTCATCACGTTCTCTCCGTTCCCCATGTTCGATATGGTCGGATTCGCATTAGAACGGTCCATGTTCTTATAATCATTAGCAAGACTCTAGCTATAGGACTCAAAGCTCGTAGTGAACTTACGAATGAACCAAAGATATGATAGCGGCTGTGAGAAATCAACCCAGAGTAACTCAAGACAAGGGTGACAGTTTGGGGGACTGAAACTTGACAGAACGCTGCTGACTTTACCGGGAAACGGGCAGCTTTTGAACGCTCCATCTAGTCTTAAGTACATGTAGTAATGCAGACA